CTCCCTCACTTGCCTGCATAACTCGTCCTCCTCCATTTTTCACATCTATTACTCCTCCTCCAGCACCTACTCTTTCGCCTCTTCAGCCCACACCTTCTCCCTCTGATACTCCTTTTCCCTGTCCTCCTTCCTCCCCTCTTTCACCTCTCCTACTTCTCCTCCCCCTTCTCCCCTGACACTGTCGCATGAGGCAGCAAAAGTGATTTCGGTGCTGTCTCCCAACCCGCAGATCCAAAGTCCTTCGGAGGAGACGAGAAAGCAGGACGAAAATGGAGCTGTATGGAATGTCAGTCAGAAGGAGAACAGCAAGAGGCAGGAGGCGAGGAAGAGATGGGCATTCGGCTTCATTCCTAACAGTAGACATTAGGCGGCAATAAATCTGCGCCTAAGAAAGACATAATTTAAGAGCCAAGCTAATGCGAGTAAAGCCTAAGACATCTCGACCGGGGGACGACAATATCGAACACCAAAACCACAACTTTCAACCACCGCCTGCGCAAAGATAACAGCCCTCTTCCCGAGACACGGTAACGCACAACAGGCAAGTGGATTGGCCTGAAGTACTTACAGTTTAAGTGTCAAGCAAATAGGCAGCCGCATATCAACTGAATCAGGATTGGTGATACCTCATCAAGAAGACAGCGTATTCGAGAATTGCCGCTGTCTCGACACGAACCTTGAGGCGTTCAGCAGATCATCTAAATAGCGCTAACCTACCCTAAAACGTCGCTTCTTCGTGCAATGAAGGCCTAGCAACCTCAAGTCAAACCCTCGACAACTTGAGAGCTCTTCAAATTGAAGACTGTCAAGTCCTGAACCTTCGCTGGACTGATTAGCATTGAAGGGATGACATGAAATCTTCCAAAAGACGTCTGCCCGCGGAAATCCTCCCTGTGCCCCACAATGTGTGCTATACCGTCAGCAGCACAAGTCTATGAAAAAGCGTATCGGGCAGAACCACATGAAGCACAAATATCGAGGCTCGGATTAAATGAGCCACAAATGCTGAGCAGAATTACTAATTGATTAGAATGCTCTTAGCCTACTCATGAGTAGCATATCCTAATTTGATGACAAATCAATTTGAGGCCTAGTCAATGCGTGAATTTAGGCGTGCCGATAGGACAAACCCGATGGATCTGAGCTAATACAGGCGCTGACAGGAAAGCTGTCCACGGAGAATTCATGAGTTTGGCCTGAATTGTGACTTGCTTCCATTTGACCGACAGAAGTTGTGAAACGAAAATAGGCTAAATGTGATTCAGGGGTTCGGGTGTATGAGCAATTTGGGATCCAGATGGGCTTGGCGCCATATTCTGCATACTTCCACTTCAGGTGACTTTTCTCAGGCTGTACCTCATTTTGACCCACTGCAAAGTATGATCTATGTTTACGTAACCTTTATGGCATCCTAAGATTGAGGTCGCATCCGGCGGTACCAATTGGTTGTTAGGGTCAACCCAGACGTCGTCTACCTTCGAATATAGTCCCGTTAAATTTGATTTGCTGCAACCAGTCTTTTGGATTGCTTATGCCGAACACTCTTGCAGTTTAGACATTTGTTAAGGCTTTGAGAATGGAAAGGGTGAAATTTCGATATAAATGGACTTTGAGAC